AGTGGTGGCTCACACCTTTAATCCCAGCGCTTGGGAGGCAGAGGCAGGCAGATCTCTGTGAGTTCGAGGCCAGCCTGGTCTTCCAAGAGCTAGTTCCAGGACAGCCTCCAAAAGCCACAGATAAACCATCTTGGGGGAAAAAAAAAAAGAAATTCAAAAGTGGTGACACACACCTGTAATCTCGACACGCAAGCAGGGCACAGGCACATCCAGTGTCCAGTTAAAGGAGCACGTCTGCAGGTGGGCATCACCCTCCAGAGCCCACTGTTACATGGGTGTCCTCAGGAGGGTCCCGGCAGTGTGGATGCCGCCCAACCCACATGGTGCCTGATCCCACAGGTCTGGTGAAACCTGACAATCTGCACTTCTAACAAGGACCCAGCATGGCTTTAGACAAACAGCTTCAAAACGAGATAGAAAGGCGTCCCTCCATATTTGACCCACCGAGTAACACTGGCATTGTTTGTGTACAGGGAGCTAAAGTAGTAAGTCATAAATAATGTTAATGTCACCCAGAACCTGGGGTGTTCAGAACAATTCGAAAAGTTCAGACCCTACACTGTGAATGGACGAGAGCAGTATAATTCACTAATAAGTTGTGTGCTCCACGCCCTTATAAAAGGGAAAACTGAGGGGGAGAAGGAAGGGGGAGGAGGGAAGAAGGAAGGAGACAGACAGACTTGTATTTTCATGTTCCCAACATCAAACTGAGCCAGGAGCCCAAGGCCCCAGGAGCAGGCCCTCCCCTGCCCCACCAAGTCCAGAGCTCCCTCCCCTGCTCTGATTCTCAAGAGAGAGCTTTCCAGTACTTGCTGTTCTTACTGAGGCACCAGCCTGTGGCACCTGCAGTCCCACACACATAATTAAGAATTTGAAGGCCAGAGAAACAGCTCAGTGGTTAAAAGCACTGTTTTCCCAGAGGACCCGAGGTTCCACAGGCAGCAGCCACCTCTGGCAGACCAGATTCTGTGCGTCTGCGATTCTAATGCGCCTGGCCCCAATGGGTAGTATGTTCACATACATGATGCATAACTGCAAATAAAACCCATCTTTTAAAAAAAGGAAAGGGTGAGCTGAATGAATATTTGCACCCACAACCTCCTGTAACTCCAGCTCCCGTGGATGTCTACATACATACATGGAAATTCTTTAAAATTCTTTATAATAATACAAAGAATCCCAGATGAAATCAGAAGGTCTGGCCACAGCACTCTCACAAACCCTGGGCCAATGAGAAACTGCCTGCCACTGGCCAGACAGGAGACCCTGGGCTAAAGCATGGTCAGGGGCTTAGACACTGCCACAGTTAACAGTCATCCCTGGTCACTTTCGCCGCTGAAGGCCAAGGGGCTTCTTAAGGCAGGAGGCAGCAGAGAGGAATTCAGTCTTTGTTCAAACTGTACCTCAGAGGCACAAAGAAAGTTAGGGGTCCTGTTTTTGTTACTTAGGGACACGTTCCCCTTGAATAACCCAAAATGGCCTGGAATTCAGCCCTCCTTCCTGTTTTACCCTCCCTAGTGCTGGAGCTATAGGCCTGAGTTCCCAAATCGAGGTCACATGGTCTCCTTTCAACAGGTGACGAAGGAACAATGGAATCTAGTGCATTTTTACTTACTACTTGTATTTATTTTATGTGACTGTGTGTGAATACATATGGGCTTCAGGGGTTGAACTCGGGTTATCAGGTTTGGAGGGCAAAAGCTTTTCCCACTGAACCATCTCACTGGTCCCAACAAAGCTTTTTCTTAAATAAGTACATGTGTGCGTGCGTGTTGAAGCCAGAGGATAACTTGCAGGTGTTGGTTCTCTTCCACTATATGGGCTCCAGGCATCCAACCCAAGTCATCATCAGCTTGGAATTCCCTTTACCCACTGACCCATCTCACCAGCCCCATGCAACTTTTATAAACATATTTCCCACAATTCCCAGCTTTGATTTTGGCCACTGAAAGCTTAAGCAGAAAAAAGAAGGACAACTTTATAGTGACATCATTCTGACTTGCCCTCACCCACCATTCAGCCCATGGGCTAGAAATAGCAAGAGGAATTCACCTTATTCCAGAAAAACTAATCCCAAATCCACCCTGAGGTTAACTTCTTGGTTCACTACCACAGGTCAGAGAAAGGGCAATATAAACCCTGAACTGACAGAACCAAACCTCACTCAGGACAAGTGACTAGTCTCTTCAGAAACCAGGTCCACAGTGTACAGGGCAGACTTGGGGAAAAGTGGTTCAAGGCCCATCAACTGACCAACTCACTAAGGTAGCTCCAGGTCACTTTGGCTCCTCACCAATGGGCCTTATGTCAGAAAAGCCACAAGCAAATTACAGACTGGCAGAGGTTGGTAATGAGAAAGGTCTGGTCCCACCGGGCCTGGAGAGCTGGCCCAGCAGTAGGACCCTGGTTTGATTCCTTGTGACCACATGGTAGCTCACAAGCATCCTTACCTCCAGCTCTGGAGTATGCCACACCCTCTTGACTGCCTGGAGCAGCAGGCACACGTGGTACACACACATCCATGCAGGCAAAATACTACTCACATACAACAAACCTTAAACATTTTAGTCTTCTATCTGCTAGAGATGCACATCCACATGGCTCAGAGATTAAATTATGTCTAAGGTTTGCTTTCCCAAAACCCAGGAAAAACTGGACAAGTGATCCCAGGACTTTGGGAGCAGTGGCAAGACAGCAGGTTCAAAGCCAGCCCAAGCCACACGCTAAGTCTGATGGGTGCCTGGGCTATGTGTGCTCAGAGCACGTCTCAGAATTAATCTAGGAAGCAGGCTGGAAAGAAAGCACTAAGTGACCCAAACCCTCACCCCACAAACAAGGGAGGGGGAGAGGAGAGGAAAAGATCAATCGGACCCCCAAGTCGTTCCACATGGTTGAAATAAAGAACCACCCCCAAAGGTTGTCTTCCAACCTCCACATGCACACCATGCTGCATATGCCCGGACATATTTTCTCCTTCCAGAACCCACAGGAAGGAGAGAACTAACACTAACACTCACACTCACTCACACACACACACACCCCACAGAGAAAACAAAATAAAAACCAGAACACCAGAATTGTAAAACACCAAATCTATATTTACATCCACATATAATAACATAACTTTAAGCTGAAATATATCATAAATAAAGCATGTCTACAGTTGACAACTTAAGTATCAACAATTAAAATAAATCAAACTGGAATGAAATAAATACATTAACAAAAATCCAACGAATTGTACCCTATCACATGTACTGTTGCCTCAAAGGGAAGACACACAAAGCCAGTAGTATCCCAAGAGTTAATACTGATGACAAGAACACACTGTGAAGTAAAGTACAAAGGGATGTTTAAAAACAAAGAAACAAACAAAAAACCTGGAATTCTTATGCATTCAAAAAAATGTAACTAGAGAAATCTGGAAGCCCCCAAAATTTCAGCATTACACCGTTGACTTTTTTCTAATAGATTTGGTGATTTTTTTTAATACAGGTTTAATTTTGCCCCCTATTGTATATAACCCCCCCCTCAAGATTTACATTTATCATCTCTGCGAGGTTCCTGTACACTCGCTGGATTTAGGCAAAGATAGAGTCAATCATCTTGCAAATGTGTTAAATCTTCAAAAATAGGCTATAAAAGTGCAGAACCTAAAAAAACAGTCTAGATTATGTACATATGGCTCAGCTTGAGGACGGGAACAGGGCCTAGTGTACACGGTTCCTGATACAAACACACTGTCTGCCAAGAGCAGACACATCTCAACCCAGCTCTCCCTTCAACACAGGAGGTACAGTCTCCTTAGGGACCTCACACAGGTCTCCCCAGGACCCCCATGTCACACAATCAAAGTGGGGAGCAGTCCAGGTTCTCTGAGCTCTTCACCCTTTTGTCCTACCGAGAGGGGTGGGCAAGAAAAACAAGCAGTGCAAACTTCTGAAACAGTTTCTTAATAAAATATTTTGGGTTCGCTAAACCCATGAACTGTTGAATAAACTCAAGGCATCAAAGGAACTCAAGTTTAAAATGCTGAGTGAGCCAGCTGGTGGCTGTCATCCCTCAATCCCAAGCTGCCTACGCACTGAGGAAATCACCCTCTGTGACACTGAACCTAAAGACAAGCAGCTTTCCCCTTCCGCCTCCCAGGACGCTCAGCCAGCAGTTCCTCACCCAGACTCAAGGTGCCTCCACTTCACAGGAGACACACCGAGACTCCAGACTAACTAAAAAATGTCCCCACATCTTTCACTCCCCTTAAAATGTCTTCCCAGCATGCAATTCACACAAGGAAATTTGGCATGTTCATCTAGACTTAACTCAGACAACTCTCCAAGAAACTGGGTCTTACAATAGACGTGAAGAACTGAGATAACTCCCCATGAAGCCTGGCTCATCCACTCAGCATCTGCCAGTCTACAGAGCAGTGGGGCTTCTCTGGCTTCTCTGTAGGCACACTCACTCAGAAGCACCACAGGCCACCCCAAGGCAGGATAGGATGCTGGGGTTCCAGGACAGCCTGTAGTCACAGGAAGACAATAGTCTCTATCTTCCTCGGTGATTAGCTGACAACAGCTGATGAAAGGTGCCAGGATCAGTGCTGCTGACCTCAAGATGCACAGCACACCTTCAGAGTGTCAACACCTCCGTCAACAATTTTGTTAAGACAAACTGTAATAGACTGTGGAGGACTCAACATAATACAGAGCAAAGAGAATTTGCTTTAAAACACATTTTAAATGAAAAAGCATAAAGAAGCAGAAACTGCTCAAATCATTGAGCTCCATGAGGGAAAGAAATACACACAGTACTTAAGCAAGTTTACAACATAGGTATTTACAATTACCTGAGGTGTGGGCATTACGTCGGTTCGGTTCTGTCCCCCTTCCCTCCTCCCCACCCAAGCCCCAATGATTTCTTTTCAGCAGCGCTCAAGTATGCAAAAATGTATTTGGTCAATTCTTTAAAAAAATATTTAGGGACAAAGTAGATTTGCGGTCCCCGTTTGTGTACAGCCCAACTGCTCCCACTAGTTTTTATTGCTATTTGGTACAAAAGTTAACAGAACTTTAGAGAATGTAGTGTTCCTTCTCTGCGCTTGGAGTCTATGTACAATACAGTCACGGCTTCCTCAGCAGCGCTCGTCATGCGCTTGCACAAGATGAGCCAAAGTGTGATTCTGGGGAAGTGTGTACTTGCATCCGTCGAGACCTAAGGGGAAGGGTTGAAAAGATTAGGAAAAAGCACATTGTTGAGGGGTCATAAGGAGTAACTAGAGAAACTGTCCTACAGTTAGCAGCACTGGCTCTTCCTTCCAGAGGACCCAAGTCTGGTCCCCAGCATCCACATCGGGCGGCTGACAACTGCCTATAGCCGCAGCTCCAAAGGCTCAAAGACCCTCTTTTGGACACCAAGACCTGCACGCACTTACAGATACGCACATACACAGTACTTTAAAGACACGAATCAACTAGGGGAACCTAGGAGTGCAAGGGATTACCCTTCCGCTCCAATTTCACAACCTACATAGCTAAAGATAATTAAGTGTTGATGGGCTACTCTCGGGAGTGAGATGATTACACCAAAAACCAGAACCTAGTACTCATTGCATCTGGCAACTACAACTTCCACAAACTCAGAAGGGTTACCAAGGTGAGATGGTTCACTTCTGTAATACCAGGACTGAGAAAAGTAAAGAAAGCAGGATCATCAAGTTCTAAGTCAGCCTAGGCTTTAAAGCAAGACCCTGTTCCCTACTTGAAAAAGGAAAACCAAAATGGTGCTGATCAAAGGCACCAATCTCCTTTCTGCATGCAAGCCCCATCCACATACACACAGGATGGATTCATGGGATTCACCCTACCTAGAGAACTGCGACCTCCACCAGGAGCCCCCTCCAGCCACTTAACTACAGTATGCAGAGTCCCAAGCCTAAGAAGCACCCTGGCCTGGCAGCTGCCCAGGCTGTGACATCTGAACAGCCAGCCATGCAGTGCTGGCAATGCCACCCTGAGCTCAGGAAGCTGGCACTCATATGCAGCTGACTTGTTAAGCCCAAAGCCAAAACACACCTCTGCTTGCCCGTCCCAGTTCCCTTGCGGGGAACAGAGAAGGACTCTGGAATGCTCTGAATCAGCTCTCAACCAAGGGGGCACAGAGCTTCAGCTCCATGTAAAGCCAACAAAAGCCAGGCAGAGGAGGGACTCTGGGAAAACACACAGGTCAAGCCTGTGTCCTTAAACTGATTTGGAATATATGGCTCTCAGCCTCAGGGCAGAAACTGTGTCTATTTTCAGCAAACCTATAGTCACGCTTGGTCACCGGGTTACACACCCAATCTTGCTGCTGTAGCGGGAGGGCAGGTGTGAACTATGAGTAAACACATGGGTGTGGAGCACCCAATCCAACCTCTTTTCCAAGCAGCAGCCACCGCCGGGGAGGCTAACCTAATGGCCTGGCTGCAGTGGGGATTACAGCACAGTTTATTAGATGCTCACTACATGGTAAAGATTCAACACACTTCAGAGGCTATTGTGACTATTTAATTACACCAGACACCCACAATCCCTGAGTACTGTCATTTTTAAAACGGGGCCAGTTAGATGGGTTCATCTGGTACAGGCACCTGCTGCTGCACCAGACAGCTGAGCAATCTCAGGTCGTGGAAGGAAAAACGGACTCCCTAAAGACACTCTCTACACATACCCATCACAGCACACAAACCAGTCAACAAAAGTAATTATAAAAAAAATATACTGAATTTTTAAAAGATATAAACTTTAATGAAAATTATTAAAAAGAATATTAGCCAATACAATGTATTTAAAGACAATAACGCTCACCTTTTCCCCAAAATATCAAAAATCAAGTTTTTTTGTCATTTGGTCGATAATGTGTATTTCCAATACAATTCTCAAAGCTTCTCTTCTGCAGCATGCTGTTGGATAGGTGCTGATACGACACAGGCCTCTTTCCTAATTGAAGAGAAAGGAAGCGGTCACTCAGAGCCCAGCACAGCAACACCACAGGAGTGCAGGCTCTCGGTCTAGGAAGCAGGTGTCCCACCAGAGACTAAGCTGCACACCTCTGATCCCAGAGGCTGAGGTGGAGACAGGCAGATACCTGGTGAGGCCAGCCTAGTTACAAAGTGAGTTCAAGACCAACCAGGGGCACAAAATAAGACCTTCTCTTAAAAAGAAACATATGCCAGGCTTGCTGACACTCACGCTTAATCCCAGCACTTAAGAGGCAGAGCAAGAGGGATGTGCAGAGGAGTGAGGCTAGCCTCTGGCCTACAGAGTGAGTGCCGAGACAGCCAGGGCTACCTAGTGAGATTCTGCCCAGGGAGCTAGGTGGGTGGGTGGGGGGAGGATGGATGGATGGATGGATGGATGGATGGATGGATGGATGGATGGATGGATGGATGGATGGATGGATGGATGGATGGATGGATGGGCGGGCGGGCGGGCGGGCAAGGTAGATAGGCAAGGCAAGGAAGGCATGCACCAGGCAGGCACACTTTTTAACTGGGCCCAAGTCAGTTAAGGTACTTGCTGTTGTGTGTGACTGGAGACCGGAGTGTGGAAGAAGAGTCCAAACCCCAGCGTGTATACACACATTACACACACAATTAACAAACAACACACTTAAACCTACACATATCATAAACCAAAACTCTGGAACAAACAGGAAAGGGTTAAAAGCAGGGTAGGGATGCTGTAGCTCAGCTGGTGGATGGAGTGTTTACCAAAAGCATGCAACAGGCCCTGTCTGGGTTTGGTAGCCTACACCCACAAAAGGCACACATTAGACCTCCACAACTCTAATACAATCTACTGGAGTAGATGAAGACACTTGTTTTTGCTCCAGCAGGAAGTGCCCAGACATGGGACACCAAGAGTAGTTCTCAGGGTTTTACAGTACAAATTACAAATTAAGTGGTGTGCATACGGTTTTACCCACCTCCCAAAAAAAAGAAAGAAATCAAAACTAAACTTTCTCTTCCCCAAGCCAACATTGTGCCTAAAGGTTTGACTGTGGATGTCTCTTTGGAGCAGCACAAACCCACAACTGCAAGAGAGCCGTGGTCTACTTCCTCTAAGCACTGACAAGCTCCGGAAGCGCCATCAAACACCAGAAGAGAAAATATTTCCCTGCGGGAACTCCAAAGACATCCACTAAGATACCACTACATACAAGACAACCTCATCAGGAACAGACCCAACAGCAGACAAGCAGTATACCAGTGTCACACACAGGAATCCCAAATCACACCACAGGACTGAGTGCTGGCCATGACTTGTGGACAGGAGAAGAGGGCTGTGACAAAGACCCTGAGCAGGGTCTCAGGGGCACTCATGCTCTGGTTTTCCTTGGGAACAGTCTATATAACCCAGGCTAATCTCAAATGCCTCAGTCACCCAGTACTGGGGACATGCACAACCATGCCCAGCTGGTACCTAGACTTCATCAATACCAGGAAAGGAACTATTTCTAGCTTGTTTTTATTTCTGTTTTACTCTACATCGTTTCCTTAAGAGAAACTCAAGACTTATAACTGCAAAGCTAAACTCTGAAGTCCTAGAATACATTGCAGCGTGTTACATATGGAGGAAAGTTTGCTTGCACCCCAGGGCTCCAACGGGATGTTTGCCTGTGGTAATACCTTCAAGGGCTGGGCTGGCTCCTGCATGTCCCGCAGATCCACAGGCGTACAGAGGTCCAGACGTGTTGTAGGGCTTCTGCACTGTCAACACACTGGGCGACTCCACCTCCCCAGGGCTCAGGAAACGGGCTTTGGGGAGCAGCACAGGTGATGGGCACACACACTCTGATGGTAATAGCGAGGTGATACTTCTGGCCACGTGGTACTTGGGGATCTCAAAGCCCCTTCTGCCATTGGGCCCAGGATGTTCTGTGTCAAGGGCCACCACGCTAGATTTGAGTCTTTTGGGATGTGGCTCACTGAACTCTGCAGTGGCACTGCCAGCATTCCGATGACAGTAGTAGTCTCTCCCTTGTGACACCCAAGGACCATCAACCTTCATGGGGTACTCAATGGAACCATTGCCATTACTACTGCCAAGGGGGGGCTGAGACGGAGCAGCCGGCAGGGCCTTGAGCTTCGGCTCAGGTCTCTTTACCTTCTCCGCAGCAGCAGAGACGCCACCACCTTTGGGAAACAGCTCTGACTGCTGCTGCCTGGTGGCCCCAGGACCCCCGGCACTAGACTGTGACCTGTGTGACTTCAGGTTACTTGGGGCTAAAGTGCTGTTGTCTGGCCCTGATGTCTGGGAAGCTTTGCTAGGCCCCAAGGAGCCCTGGCGGACCTTCTCCGGGTGCAGGGACTTGGCCTGTGATGAGAAGGCAGGCTTGACCTTGGGCTTGTGCAGGCCGGACAAGGGAGGAACATCTTTGCCCAGCAAGGCAGGAGGACAGCCTGTCCGCCGGCTTCTCACCACAGACTTGCTGCTACAGTTCTTATGGGTATCAGGGTTGTACCTGTGCTCCAGTCTCTGGTGCATCAACAGAACTTCTGGATAAAAGGTCTTAAAGGTACAAAAGGGGCAGGAGATGCTGGGAATGAGACACTTGCTCAGGGTGATGGCAGGAGAGGCATGGAGTGGCCCAAGGGATAGATTCAAAGGACTGTCCTGGCCTTCGGCACCAGTCTTGTATTTGCAGTCGGCTTCCCACTCCATCTTCTCCCTATGACCAGCTTCCCGTGCCAGGGACCCAACCCCCTCTAGTTTGCAAACGGGGCTGCTGGCCTGAGGCTCGCCCAATGCTCTCTTCTTCGGCATGTCCAGATAAGCAGAGGCAGGACTGTTTCGAACTTTCCCACCATCATCGGCTGCATGTTTATGGAAATCCTGAGTATCTTTGTGTGCTGGTGAGAGAGCGGTGCTGCCCAGAACACTCTGGAAGACAGAAGGCGTCTCCTTAAGCTGCTTGGCAGGTGGGCTGCCCTTAACTTCTTTGGCACCATCAAGAAAGCGCTTTAAATTTTTGGTCTGCACACTGTCAGCGGTTAGTAGTGCTTCCTGTGGCTCCTGGCTCCGGCCTTCATTTTTAGCCTCAGCTGCAGCCGCAGCATCCACCAGATGTTTGTCCTTGTGATGTCTCTCCAAGTGATACCTCAGAGATGTCTTCTGGGCTGCGGCATACTCACAAAATTCACATTTGTACGGTTTTTCACCTAGAACAAAATATGCCAGGGCATCATGACATTTAGGAAAGGCACCAATAAACTCTGCAAGCTAGCCAAGCTATACACAAACCATGGGTTGTTACCGACTACCAACCTTGATATCTAGGACAACTCAACGCCCCAGTGTGCTGAACACTTACTTAAACCTATCTTTCCCAGAAAAAGCTCGCTTTAACTGACCTGACCTTCACTGTTGCCCTGTGGCAGAGTATGCACATTTCCCAGCTGAGGAAATGGGAGCATGGGGATTATTATCAGTGCTACCAAGCCACGAGGCAGGCTCACAACTTCCTAACCCACACTACTGCTGCCACCTACATCCAAACAACAACAAATACACCCTCACTTTACTCCAAAATCAAAAAGTGGTTTTGAAAGAATGTGACATTAAAAATATTGCAGGTCTGCCTTAATGATGGCAGCCGTAAACCAGCCTCAAAACAGGACCCAGTGTCCAGGCTGCTACAATGTTAGAGGACACAGCACACACTTAAGCCATCTGAACCACAGAGCAGCGAGTAACGGTTTCAGCTAACACATGCTTTAAGAATCAAGCCCTTTACCTGTATGCGTTCTGAGATGAATATTGAGGTAATAGTTTGAACGGAAAAACTTGCCACAGTAACTACACTCTCTCGAGGACGTGAGGGGCTTTGCTTTTCCTCCATCATCATTTTTATCTTAAAGCAGAAACAAAAACATTTGTGTAAGTCAGACGAAGCACATGATTCAGGTGTGCAGACTCCAGTATTCTAGACACAAAACATTTGGAGAAACCATGAAATAACTTTTTACTTTAGTTCTGAGTAGAAGTTTCAAAGGCTAAAATAACATACCAAATGCCATAAGGCAGTGTTTCATGTCTTACACTGTGCTTTTGTTTTGAAGACAAGGTCTCGCTATGTAGCCCTGACTAGCTCTGGACTCAAGAAACCCGCCTGCCTGCTTGCTTGCCTGCCTGCCTGCCTGCCTGCCTCCCTCCCTATGGTGGGGATTAAAGGTGTGTGCCCAGCACTACACTCTGCTCTCCTGTGTTCAGAGCACAGCCTAGTGCCCTACTATACTCAGGGTCTGCACCTTAAATCACGATGACACTTGACAGACAGAACCTAACACGTACTGAACCTGGTTCGTGCTTGGGTGGATGTGCCCACTAACCATAGAAACCACCTTACTCAGAACCAGCGATTTTATTTGGAGGCATTAAGACCACTGGCAGAAAACAGCTTGAAATTAAAGAAGTTACCACTAGGGGGCGGCAAGCACAAAATAACTTCAACAGTAACCCTGGCATGGCTTTGAGCAAGTACCTAGGAAAGTTGATCAAAATAGCCAAGTTTGGTAAGGTGGAGTTCATGGTTTCCAAGCAATGTCATGGGCAAAACAAACCCTGCTCCATCAGAATCTACTCGAAAGGCAAGGCTGAAGTGCCTGATGAGTGATGTGCAGGACCACTGGAGACAGGGGCCAACTAAAGCGGACTGAGGCTTCGCTCTCAGCAGCCCACCAACTTGAAGTGGTAAGACTGTCCTCTGCAAGACTGACCCTTGTAGCAGGTAGGTACAAATGACCCACCATGGCTACCTCTTGAAATCTAGCCACCAGGGCCATGATGTAGGTGTGATCCATCATGAGTGCACAGACAGGTCCCATCTGGGTTCAAGAAGGCAGAGTTAAAGTGGTCATTTTGCCTTATGAAACCTGATTTCCAATTACAGACCTCTTCCCTGCTCTGCCGCATGCAAAAGGCATATATACCCGAGTAAGAGCAGGTGTTAGGAATGGGCCTATGCAATCTCCATTTACACCGAATCCCCTCTAAGAAAAGGGATCCATAAAACACAATTTCTGGCCTAAAACAGTACGAGAGCCTTTGAAAATTCAGACTCTTTGAACTCCTTGAAAGTAACTCTAAAGCAGACTGGCTGACAGCACAGTGGATGATGCCCTTACAGCCCCAGCCCTTTACAGCTAGACTCACAGCTCGCCCTACCTCCAGCTGTGCCAGGGTACACACTCTGGTAAATCACACCCAAGGCTGGGAAACACCTCTAACACACAGGCCATGACCTCTCAACATCTGGAAAGCCTGCTAACCTGAACTTAATTGAACCATGCTGTTGTACAGAGTTGCACACTTTTACAACTAATGTTGAACTCGTCCTAGGGAGGAGCACCAGAGGTGGATAAGCTGATTTTGCAAACCGGGAAATCGCAAGGTTGGGCAATGTGTGATGGGTCACAAGGAATCACAGCCAGACCCTGGCTCTCCCACTTGTGGCAAGCCAGGCCAGGGAGCCTTCCTCAGAACCCAGCGAGTTTCCCACCAACTCTGACGGCTGAGAGAGTCCTTTCTTTGAGAGCTGGAGGCCATCTCCAGCACTGACAAGGCACAGAGGCCATCTATGAGGTCATCCTTATGTCATCAACACCACGTGACCTGTAGGTTTCTAGGGACTGAGAAGTGGGACTATGCTAACCTCTAGGTTTCCACTGTCCCTAGAAACTCAACTGACTGGACATCTGTCAGGAAAGCAAAGGTCTGCAGGTCAATCACTGACCAGGAAAAAAAACTGACTACTGGTTCAAATGCAGGGGTTGACAGGTTCCAGGTTAGCTGTCCACTCATCTGCTCTCCCACAGACTCCCAATATGCATTGCATCTGCAAGTGTTATTTATCATTAACCTGTTAGCGAGCACCACACATCATGAAGCAGCAGACCCCCACATTCAGTGACAATGGTTCAAGTGTGGGTGAGCAGCAAGACAAACACGGGTAGACTCCTCTGCTCTGGGCTCACACCCAATCATGAGAACCTAGGCAACAAACACCTTGTTTCTATAAACACCAGTACAACACTAAATTCATGGAGCAGGCCTGGAGTGGACCCACACACCTGGATTTCACCTACCCATCATTTCAGAAGCTCGCTCATGAACACTGGCCTTGCAAACACCAAGGTGATCAGAGTGCAGCAGGGGACGCTCACATCATGACTAGCTGACTGGTTAGGAAGCCTCCCCACTCCTGGGACCACTAGAAACCCATCTGAACACACATGAACACATGGTTACAAGTTAAGAACAGGAATGCCAGGACTGGTACAAAGCCCTGGGTCTCAGTGCCAGGATTGCTAGCATCCGGCACCAGGTCACTGTCAGGCGCATTCCAGTGCCTCAGAAGGTGAGCAGCAGCCCCTGTCTCAACCTACTGGTGCACCAGCTATAAAAACCTGAGTCCTTTGGGAGCAAAATGTACGGGGGCCTTTCAGAACAACAGGATTGATACAGGCTTTTTTTTTTTTTTTTTTTTTTTTTTTTCCCTCTCCCTCTTTTTAACTCCACCCCATTAATACAGAAATGAAAGAAGGGCTAAGATTCCAACCTGCTCCCATGCTCCCTGCCTGGGAAGCAGTAGAGTACTCACCCAAATGGAGCCCTTCAGGGAGCCCATCCTCAGACCCATCTTCAGAGCCTCCTTCTCGGTCCACAGTCCCATGGTCTTCCAGAGTGGTAGCAAGGTCTGGGGAGCAAGTACCAGGCTGCCTTCCGTCCACAGACATGGTGGGTGATGGGGCATCGGCCCTCCGGTCCTTCTTGTGCACCCTGGAGTGCAGAACAAGCTGGTGGTAGGTCCTGAAGGCTTTACTGCACTCGGAGCAGTGTGTGGGCTTCTCCTTGCTGCTGGGCAACTTGGGATCGCCATCCCCAGAAGGCACTTCACTGCTGACATGTCTAGGCTTCTCTTTGTCTTGGGAGAGACCTGGACAACTGCTTCTATTTGTTTTAGGCTTTCCAGAACCTTCCGACTTACTCCCAATCCAAATCTCTCCAAGTTCCTCTTTCTCTGAACACGAATCATCATTGTCCGTGCTCCCTTCCTGGCCTGACTCTTTCACCTCTTCTTGGGCAATGGCCACTTTCCCTTTGGTGGCCAGCTGCCATGCCTGGTAGGTGGTGAACGGGTCAAGCTGAGGTATACAGGTGGCGGGCTTCACTGTAGTCTCTGGGTGGGATCTGGGTCTCAAGTTCAAAAACTGCAGTAGCTCTTCCCTCGGGGGTGTGGGTCCCTCTTGCTGGGCTTCAGGGGCTGTGTTAGTGGCACTGGAGGCAGTTTCTTTGGCATGAACCTTACTGTGCTCCATGAGGCTCTGCTTATTTGGGAAGAGGAAGCCGCATACCATGCAGATCTTGTAGGGAGTGGAGATGCTCCCAGCTACATGTGCCTGAACTACTTCATTGATGGTGACAGGACTCTCCAGGCCCTGCTGCAGCTTGCTCCTGGTGCCAGACTTGCCATTGTGTGTCCGCATGTGGTTCTTGAGGAACCACGGCTCCTTGAACCTTCTCCCGCACATGCTGCACCCGTACGTGAAGGAGTCCTTGTGTTTCTTCATGTGGCTCTCGACGTCGAAAGCCCCTGGGAACGTCTGCCCACACACATCGCAGCTCAACTCTTCGTTCTCTTTGCAGTTCTTCTCCTTGGGTGGCTCTGTTGGCACCTGACCTTTATCGAGAGGACTTAGATACTCGGCCTCCACCCGCAGGACAGCCGGCTCACACAGGGTGGGCCGGTGCTGCATGAGCACATGTTGATTGAGGTCTTCAGCATGGGAGAAGGCCTGGCTGCAGAACATGCAGTCCAGGGGCATGTGCCCTTCAGCTGGGGTCATGCTCCTCTCCGGAGCAGCTCGGAAGGGGACTGCAGCTGGCCCTTTGATGGACACAGCATCATCCACCTCCATCTGGGTACCCAGAGAGCTACCAATGACTTCCGGCCCATCCATGTACACGAGGAGGGATTGAGTTGGCATGTTGCCTGTGCCTTCAGGATCAGGTAGGAAGGGATAATCCAGCAGTCTACTGAGGAATCTCTGGAGTTACAATAAGGCCACTTATGAGACGTCACACAAACCTCCAGGAGCCCTGGGCTTGTAACTAAAGTTCACAGGGGAGAGTATTCCGGAGTCTGGGGAAGCTCAGTGACGGAGACCCCGGCCGCCCTGTGCTGTGATTCAGTCGTGAGTCGGCACCAGGGCACTAGTCCTGTCTGTCTCCATTGGCTGAATGGCTCAGCTGAGCAAGGTGTTGATCCCGGCCAGCAATGTGAAGACAAGGGACTTCCAAACTCTAGAAGTTAAAAACAAGACACACACAGTGAGGAAGGCTCAAAACAAACAAACAAACAAAAAAGGGGGTTCCGCTGGATGAGTCACATGGTCTTTTCCACAAAAAGGGACCAGACTCAATTGCCTCACCTTTAACTAATCCATAATGCATCCTGCTAAGCATGTTTGTTAATTAAGTCATTAGCATATTTCCTAGCCGATACACTTACTGAGTGAGTAGAATTTCAACCAGGAAGGAGGTTAAGCCAGAACTCTGCTACCGAAATAGAAAAGCCAAGTTTAAACAGGGAATGGCTATGACAGACCAGCCCAACTGAGCTACATGAGTTCAAGGTCAGCCTTGTCAACATAAAAGGCCGTCTTAAAAATAAACATAATAAGAGGTGGTTTTAGAATTGTTACAATTCTGCTATGTCTCCTACCTAAGCAAGATACACACACACAGACTATAAAAGTTACAAAAGCCCAGCACAGTGGCAAGTACCTTCAATCCCAGTGCCAGGAGAGGCAGGTGGATCTCTGAGGATCTGAAGCCAGTCCAGTGTAAATAGCAAGTTCCAGAACAGCAGAGCTACACTGGCAGACCCCGTCTCTAAGTAAGTTATGAAAATAAGCTGACAAAATGAGCCTGCCTCGGTTATGTACTAAAGTCAGTGCTGGAAACGGTTACATGAGGGAGGTCTCAGTGTCTCAGTCACAAAGAGGTCTAAACCCTCAGCACACGACACAGGCCCCTTTCCTCAGGTCCCCACACAGACACAACTCAGAATCCCATTCACCTCGGCTCAAGACCCTGATGTGTTTGAGGCCCTGGATGCTGCCAGGTAGGCAGTGTAGGGCTTCAGAAGGCAAATGACCTATCAGATTCAGAAGCCATTTACTGTGCAGGCCTCCACAGACCCGACTCCATGTGGCCCATTCTTCCATCAGAAAACACACCTCCCACTTTGTACCCCACCTTTCACTTGGGCACTGGGCCGGTGGAAGGGAGGGCTGTGGGATCTGCTTCAGAGGCTGGTTTTCTACTCTTGAAGAATTAACTCCTAAGAGTCAGAGTCTTTCATGGTACACAGATAGAGGGCTTGTTTTTACATAGCCTCTCATAACAAGTGGGTTAGCCCCACCCAAAGGACACAGCACAAGGCCACCGGCCATAGGGCTGCCTTCCTCCCTCCTGGGTCCCACCCCACAGCAGGCTCGTGAACCTAGCTCCTCCCCTTCTTCAGAGTACAGTTGTGAGCTCCAGGGCACAACTTTTATCTCCTTCCTTTCTGCCTTTATTGCAATCACAATGGAGGACAAACACCTGGAGTGGTTACCACCCTGTGACGTAACAGAGACGTGAGTTCTAGCCCAAGTTAGGATTTTCAAGGTGTCATGGCAAAGCCAACTCAACCAAGCACTTGCAGTGGTTAAAACTATGGCAAGGTTGACAAGTACCAAACCTTGTCTGGCTGAGGACAGACCCACACAATCAAAGCACTGGCAGCAATCTAAGAGTGTGCCCCATTTTAGATTTCTACACTCATTAATGTGACACCCACACCACGGGTAGTGTGCTCACTGGAGAACTAGGCACAGGCTGTGGAAATGCAGGATCTCATCCTGCCCAACCTGTGCAGAACCAGAGCTAGCTGTAGTTTGACAACAGTCACTTAGTTACTAGACATCCTTTCCTCTTTGAAGCGCTATTTAAACGTTGCAGAGATGCAGTAGTTGTATCAAATAGTAAGTTCCAGGCCAACCTGGGCTATAGGGGGAAACCTTATCTCATAAAAGCTAAGAGCAAACTTGTTGGGGGGGGGGCACAGTAGTGGAGGACACTGATCTGTGAGGCCTAAGCTTTTGGAAGAACCCCACTTCTCTAGAAGTTATCCTACTTGCCACCCCTGGGAGGCAGTAACTTTTAGTCCCAGCAAGTGAATGCACCCTCACTCAGCCTGCTACCTGGATGGTGTATTCTGTTCAAATCTGCACCGTCCTTATGTTTTGAATAAAGTATTCTTGCTTCTGTGGGAGGGGGAGTGGTCCCTATTTTTATCTGTGAACTCCTTGGCTGCCTGAGAGGAGGAGGCTACAGTTCCAGGTAAGGATGCTGTAAAGATGGCCACCTGAGACATGCCCAGTAAAGTGTAACAAGAGGCACACGGTGGGCTGGTGGCCAGGGAGAAAGGGGAAGAGCAAAGCTGGAAGCACTTCCTCCTCCTGAGAAGCTTCCAGAACAGATTCTGATGGTCACAATTATGCATAAGTGCTCAGCCCTGAAAAGCCTAAGTTACATCATCTGAAGACTCAGGTGCAAGCCTGTCCCACAACTCCTGCTCAACACCACCCACCACAGTGGGTCTGTGACATACTCTCAGGACTTCAGTTCAACCTACAACCATCCTATAAGGAAAAACAAATTTAAAAATGAAGATAAAACAAGATAAATTAGCTTTCTCAACCAACATTTTTGAAGATTCTTTTCTAAGTTTTAAAATATAAAAAAGCAGCATCCTAAGACCCTAAGGAAGAGCTGCTGGCTGGTTCACTGTTGAGACCTGGCACTGAACTAAGACACACTTATGATTTCACCAGGAAGCAAGGGCCAAAGCAGCAGCCATTCCTTGGGCTATGGCCCGATACTCCTGATCTAATACTGAAATGAACCCAAGTGTTCACAGTTTCTTCATAAGAGTCAAAAGGCCACCACCCCATTGCCCACTCTCTGTAACCAAGACCCTGACGGAATTTAAGATGTACTTTCATTCCTAAGTGCGTGTTCAGGTGCCTGCAGAGGCAGGGTAGGAGCAGAGTGTCAGGTCCATTGGAGCTGGAGTCCCAGGTGGTTGTGAGCCACCTGGGGTGGGTGCTAGGAATTGAACAATGGTTCTCTGGAAAAGAGAGCAGCCAAGTACTGTTAACAAATTAATCATCTCTCCATGCTCCAAGATTTTTTTTATTTGTTTTGGGTGCTTTTGTTTGAGACAGGGTCTCTCTACATAGTCCTGGCTGTCCTGGAATTCACTGTGTAGACTAGGCTTAGCCTCAATCTCAGAAACTGCTTCCCAAACACTGGAATTAAAGGCATGTGCCAGGTTCCCCCTCACCCCCCCCCACACACACACTTATAAAGCTGACCAGCACAACAGCCATGCCCTGAGTTGAGGCCAGAGCTCAGTCAGCTGCAGCTGGCCTGTCACACCCTGTGTAGGTTTGGGGTTCCATCCCCAGCATTGACAAAAAAGACTGCACCACTAGAGCTTGCTCCCTACTGTGGGCCATCCAAATCTGACAGCAGGTGTTCTCCTCACTGAGAGGCCACAAATCTCCTGCTCAACTATAAAGCAACAGAATACTTAGTGTTAAAATCCATTTGCTCAACTACAATCTTTAAAGAACTGCAACAGGGTTAGTATCGGAACCTATCAAAACAGCTGTTCTACTGTAACTGCTACCTAACAAACAGTCCCTCCCTTTGCCTGAACCAAGAGTGAACGCAGACTCAGCTTTTCCAGAAGGCTCCATCCAGCCTTCCTCCTGCAATCCCAGTACTTTACAGACTATTTCCTGAAAGGAAGGGACATCACTGCAATGTAAGATTGTTTGGTTGCCAGGAAAGCAAGTATTCTAACCACACAAAGCTTGTTAAAAAAGTACTTTGCAAAAAAAAAATGTCTATTTAAAAAAAATTTTTAAATCTTCACTCCTGTAAAGGCAGCACTAAACCTTCAAGTCCCACACCCCAAGCACCTCACTCAAAATGCTCACACATTGAGAGCATACTAGAGCTTAATGCATTACTAAGATTACTCAGTTTTCCGTAAGAAACATACGGCTTTAACTGCTCAAGTGTGTTTGATATTCTGTAAGTCACTAACTCAACAGTGATGTGTGACTACATGAACATGAAAACACACACACACACACACACACACACACACACACACACACACGCCTGTTAGATTACCAGTTACACAAGATAGTGAAAAGACAGCGAGTCAGGAGAACTGCCACTTGTGACAACTACTATACTTGGACTTGGAAACACCAATCCACACAGAAGTGCTCCCAGCCAGAGTCCTCAGACAACATATCTGTGTGTTTCCCATGAGGATGGGATCTCACATCCTTGGTTAGGGCTATCCCACTGCCACATCCTCCAACTGCTTCACCCATGTTAGAAGAGTCCTACTAGACACTCTAAGACACTCAACTCACAGTACTAACTCTGGCCAATTTATTTTTATCTTTAAAATTACAGAATTAGGGCTGGAGACATGGCTCAGTGATTAAAGGAACTGGCTGGTTACTCTTCCAGAGAACCCAGGTTCAATTCCCAGCACCCACATGACAGCACACAACTCCAAGTTACAGGGAATACGACACCCTTGAAGGCACACACAGTGCTCACAAGACCCTCTAGAACTGAAGTTACGAATGGCTGTGAGCACACGTGGATGCTGGGAACCAAACCCACATTGTGAGCAAGAACAAAAAGGGCTCGTAACTGGCGGCTGACCCATCTCTCCAGCTCACTACATTTTTCCCTTAACCCTATAACAGGACTGACTTCTACATCAGAATCTACAGTATCAAAATCTACAAAATCAAAAGGCAGACAATTTCAGCCAAGATAGTTCTCTCCTTCTAACATGTTAACAGGCTTGGTGGCAAGGGGCCTTACCTATCTGAGCAATCCCCACAGTCCCTAAATCTGTAACTTTTGATCTTTCTGTGATCAGGCTAACTTCGTGCAGGTGGGGGGGGGGGGCTTAAAAGTTCAAAGAAAGGTTTAAGTGTAAATTCTCAGTTTAAATTCAGCACCATAATCCATCACAGGCAAAACCTTGCTGCAAGGCAAAAGGAGAGGCTCCTCTACAAAACAATCCTGAAAGTCACTGACAATACTCCACTCCCTACAGCAGGAGACCCCAGTTCTATCCTGGCCCGTAGACACTGCCTGATTCACCCCCACACAGGTCAGGGTGTGGAGGGAGCCAGTTTTACTTTCAATATGGTCAATACTAAGATACTGATATCTGTTAACCCTTTCAAACACTGTCTGCAAAACGTTCAATGGGGGAAGGTACTGCATTGTTAATCTTCAATTAGGTAGGATGGACACCAATGTCCAGAATTTCTCACCGTAACCCTGCCTACCTAGGGCAACCTTCCATCTGCTCTGAGATCTGACAGGGCAAAGGGTTTCAGGAAACTACAGCAGCAAGCCCACATTTACCTGGGCTCATCAGCTCCACACTCTACAATGACTCAGTGTCTGCACACACACATCCGTGTACACACAATACAATACATCAACAAAAAGTATGCCCATTAACTGGTACCAGGAATTACACACTATCCCTCTTTTTTTTTCAGGTTAAATGGGCAAGGTCTAAATTAGACTCAAATTAACTTACCAGGTAAAACACAAGCTAAGGCAATGATGCCCTTAAAACCCAGGGACATAAAGTTGAATAAATGCTAAACTTGTGGCCAGCTCTTTCATAGTTACCTGTCCACATCTCAAATTAAATAAAAATAAAATCTTTCAATGAATAAGGCCAATCACTCTTGGAGAGATTTACAGGTTAGTTTAAGTCAGCAGCTACTAGCAAATAAAAACTGCCACCAAAACTGAATTTTGTCCTTTTGAAATATTCACTTAAAATAGCTTGTTTTGAAGTAACTAAAGATTTTACATTATCCTGTTCTGAGACATTAGAAAAAGGAAAAAGTCACCTGGCCATTCAGCACTGTCTTAAACCTGAAAGATTATAATCACCCATTAAAAAGCCAGCCTTGGGGGGGGGGGTAGTACAGGCATTTAAAAACAAAAATCAGTGGTAAAGCTGAACAACAAAAGCCAGGGTCAATTCATCCCCTTGCTCACCTCTCTTCAGAGTTAGTAATTCTATTTCCCAACTTTATCATAAAATTACCAAACTGGCCCCAAATTTCCAGTAACTCTGATGTAGCTAGCCTGGGCAGGAAGCAATGGCTCTTTTGAACAGCACAGGCAGCAAGCGTTCACAGGCAAAGTTCTCTGTGCAGTGCAGCATAAAAGAGTAAGCTGTGGTGGCAGCTAGCTAATGGGGGCTCGCTCGTGTTCATCTGGAAGCTACACATACCCAAGAACTGAACTCACTCATGAGGAGATGAAGATTTTTCTAGGAGAGAATGGTGGTATGTGCCCCCCTCACCCCACCCCCCACACACTCATACACACTTCCTTAAAGGCAAGATTTCTATCTGCCCTCGTGGTCTGAATTCAAAACCCTCTGGCCCACATACCACTGCAAATTTGTCTAGCTATGTTACTGGCTGACCAAGAACCTTAATCCAGATCACCTAACTGAAAGGCCAGCTTTCTACACTTTCCTAATGTGCCCCCACAATGAGAACAGTAAGCCATATTCCACCAGACTCCCCCAACACAGCAGAGTGAAGACATTTCCCCAAGGCTTTGTGTAATGATACACTTTCCGCACTGAAAACCCTGGAGCTGAGGTGTGTGAACTGAGGCCCCTCCATTGTCACAGCTTCCATTTACATGCCTGTAGCTAAGCCCTTCCGGGTTCTGAGTATTTAATAGGGCCGGAACCCTTTAATTCAATTTTGGTAGCTGTCCTACACACGTCTTCCAGGTTTTTATTTTTTTAATAACCCTGGTGAATTAAAAACTGTTCCATATGCTCAGTTGTGATCATTTAATTTGAAATGGCACATTCTGACACTAAAATGCCCCACAGTTTACTCAAACTGCCTTGTGTTGTTCCTTCTAATTCTAAGGCTGGGAAACCCACTTCTTGATAACTCAGCTTCAACTTCCCAAATTATTAATCACACATATTGCCACGGGATTAAACTGAAATAGGGAATCAGGAACCAGCCATTTAAAACAAATTATAGCCAGTGACCTCAAAAGCCCACAATGGAGGCCACACCGAATATTAGATGGGACAATCAAGTTGTTTTCACAGCAATGGGAGAGCAGGTCTTTTACAACTACTCCAAACTACTCCAAAGTTCTTATCAACCAATGTCATGTTTAGAACAACTGGAAAATGTCATTTAATAAAGTGGAGAAGGAGCCCATTTCTTGGAACCCTGAGGTTCTAATCAGGCAGCTCAGAATTAAGAGGGCTCCTAGGCTGAGGATGGCAGCCCTGCTGTTGCAAAACATCGTTTCCTACTAAAGTTATGTGAAGGGAGAGAAGGTGATTAGCACTTATCTGCCAGGAGGGTATAGACTGAGTCATCGAGAGCCATTGTACGCCTTAATTATTTCATCAGTTTTTAAGAGACTTGATGATTAAGTCTTATTTTCAGATTTCCTCTAAAACAAGAGACTGGAAAAGGATTAGGGGCTCCTAGCCACCCCCAACTTTCTCTGCCAAAAATGGAGGATTACAAAAAAAAAATGCACCATACACATAAACACATATACATACATACACACACATACACACACACACACACACACACACACACCCAGAAGCCAGAGTCAGAACTTTCTCCCCCTCTTCCCCCCCTACCACCTGGGGGGAAAGAGTGCTATTATTAAAATAGATTCTTCAGCATAAAGGGGAAAATTTTTCTAAGTGGTATCTTAGTTCCTTTTTTTAAAGTAAGAAGTGAAAGGGAATAATATGAAGCCAAGACAATTACTAAACTTCAATCTCAAGAATTAGTTATTACCCTGAAAAAGACCAGGCTACAAAAGTGGGAGACGGTGCTGGGAGTGTGAGAGGGTTAAAAGCAGCTGGAAACCTAAGGAGATGTCTTTCAGTCTATCGACTATATGCATAGGAGGCAAAATCTTTAGGTCACTGCCTCTTGGATTTCATACTTACACAACTGGAAAAGTGGCAGGATGGGGGTGGGGGGCTTGTGGGCGATTCCCAATAAAAGATCAGGATTCAAAATGAAAATCAAAATAATCAAAAAGGAAAAATGCCTCAGTGGACTCCAGAAGTCTACAAAACAGTATCTAAAATAGGACATCTGGGGAAGAGAAAGAGTCATCTACCATTAAGGACACACCTTAAAAGTTCTCAGTACAATAACTAAGTAAGCACAAACTAGTGGCCTGACAGTCACATTTTCAGTCAGCAATTAGATTAGTTCTCTGCACTTGTTACTACAGAAAATAGCTTGGGGATGGTAGACCTTTTATTCAGCTATCTCGAAGCAAAAATTGGGCGTCTGAAATCTGATTTGGTACCAATCAAGGCAGTGGCTCCACTTGGGGGAAAGTAGTCAAGAAGAAGGCTCTGGACGCCCTTCACTTACAAAGAGAGGTGAAAGGCCCCCTGAGGCCCCTACCTAGTCTCCAGGCCTGGCCAGCAGCTGTGGCTACCCTGCCTCTTTTGTTGGCCTTAATCTCATGTCAAGTTATTCAACCAACTCAAAAGCGATGAAGACATAATTGAATCAACCTGAACTAAATCAGACCTAGGCCTCTTAAAACATACAGCTTAATGGCTCCAACCCATCCCCAAAATCAGGAAACTGGCCACAGGATCCTGTGGCACACATGGTGCCCCCACAACCAGGGACCATAGGCTGGCTCCCCTTAATCAAGGCTTGCTCAGGAATGCCTGTTTCTCAGAAAGAGAAACTAAGGCTCAAGGACAGAAACCTTCGGTCTGGGAACGACCACCCTTTCCCCTCGCCCGGAACCAAACAATAAAAAGTTATAAAGTTTCTACTGCCCGAATGCAGTCCGGCCCCCACTTGGGGGTCCCAGATAGGGGACCTCGGGGCTTGGGCTCACTTGAGGAAGAAAACCTTTTGGGAAAACTCCCCGCCTGCTGTCCCCACCCCCACTCTCCCCGCCCAAGAATGCGCTTCCCGTGCTCCGAGGGTCCGCGGCGGGGGCGCCCTTCACCGTGCGCCCGCTCCCTCCCTCCCTCGCTCGCTCGCTCGCGTCGGGGCTGAACTGAGGCGCACGGGGCCGCACCCTCCAGTGTGCGGTTCCGCCTCCCGCCACCCCGCACCAACTTCCCACGGGAGTTTGCGGGGCGTTCTAAGTTTGGGCGTGAAGCCGAACACCTTCCCTCACTTGCGGGACGCAGGTCCGGAGGGGGCGCGGACCCCCGACGGTCACGCCGCGCCGGCGGGCTATTGTCTCGGCCGTCCCTCCCAGCCCCACGCGCTGCCCCGGCCGTGGGGACGCGGCCCGGAGCCCCTTTACCTGCGGCCGTCCGGCTGCACCGCCCCGGCCGCCGGCTGAACCAGCGGCAAGGGCAGCGCGGCCTTTGTGCGTCCGCCGCGGGGCCCCGACGGCGCGGGGCCCCGGACGGGGCCGCTCCGTGCCCGCCTCCCACGGCCGCGGGTGCCGGGACCCCCACCCACACGGCGGCTCCGGGGGGCCGGGCTCACCTCCGGCGCGGGGCGAGGGAGCGGCGCGGGCGCCCCCTACTCGTCCGCGCGGGGACAGTGCAGGCGCGGGGTCCCTGCGCGGGCGGGCGGGCGGCCGGCGTCCGGCGGGGGGACTGTTGGGGCAGAAAGTGCTCGCAGCAGCTGTTGCGCCCTCCCCCCCGGCCGCGCCGCCCGACGCCCCGCCCCCAGCCGCGCCTGTCACGCCCCCTCGGCGCCCGCGCGTGTGCGCAAGCGCACCCCTGACCCGCCCACCGGTGCCGGCCACGCCCCCCACGGGCCCCCCGAGGCGCGAGCCCCGCAGAGCGGCGCGCGCACCCCGCTCCCGCCCCATGGGCTCCCGCGCACGCGCGCCCCGCTCCACCTCCCGCCATCCGGCCTAACGTGGCGCGCTCGCGCCCGGGCGGTTCCAGTGACAGGTATTCTGGGGGGGGGGGCTGCGAGCACAGCGCGCAGGCGCACTGCCAACCCCCCCCCCCCGCAGCCTCTCCCTCCCTCGCAAGGTGCGCCCGGGGAGGGGAGGGGAGGGGACCAGAGGGGAGGGGAGGGAAGGGAAAGGGAGGAGCCGGTTGCCCAACTCCCGGGTCGCACAGAATCAGGAACAAAAAAAAAAAAAAAATTTTAAAAAAAATTAAAAAAATTAAAAGAACTTGTCACTGGTTTTGGGGAGCTTATCGGATAGCGGTGTTCACAAGAAGGGGAAAGGAAAACACTTTTCAAAGGTTCAGTGTGAGGAAGGTCCGGGAGATAAGAGAATTAAATTTCCCCAAATTAGTATCTTCATAAAGCAAATTGTCCTTTTCTTTAAGACCCTGGGCTTGCGTTTCTACTATAATTTCATGTCTGGATTTGGACTTGGTGCCACAAATCTGAGTTTGCATAGAAACTCACTTGGGTGTAACTAGGCTTAAAAGTGGGGTCAAAACAAAAACGAACACAACACAACCCCCCCCCCCATGCCCAACTCACTAAAAACGTTTCCCTAAGATTGTGTTCCTGACTCACAGAAAAGATGTAAGAAGGAAGACAGGAAAAGGAGATGACTCCAAAGGTCTGGGAAGATGCCCCCTGTTTTTAAGCAAGCCCCAGGGAGAAACTATGGCGGCCACAATCACATTCAATAATTTTTCTGCTCCAAAATGCAAATGAATTCAAATATAAAATAGATCTATTGCTTCATACAGAAAGGCCAACTTGTTTCTTTTTCAAGCTGCCCCTTCAGTGTATCAAAAAGTGAGAAAACATCAATAAAGCATTCATATCCATTTCCTAAATCAAAAGAAGCATGGGGGGGCAAAAAAAAAACCGACCGGAACTGGTAAGCAACACAATCCCTAATAAATAGGAAGAATTCAAGAAGCCAGCTTATCAAAGGGCAAGAATCTGCCATGTAGAATGTTTTTGCTGTCGTTTTACATAACTAACCAACCCACATATGGTCTCGTTAGTCTTTTTTTCAAAGGAAGTGAATCAATTACTTACTCACAATTAATTAGCAGCGCTGGAATAGATCCTTAAGCCAGCCAACGACGTAAGATATCGATCATTTTTAGTACTAGGGTTCCTTTTCTCACCACAGATTAATCTTTTTTTAAAAGTACTGGTTAAAACCTAAATATTCACTCTACATCCTACAGCTCTGCAAACATTCATAAGCAGGAGACTTCATTTAACTTTGTCCCCCCCAAAAAAAACAAAAAACGATGGGGGAGGGGGGCAGCTTTGATACAAAACAAAGAAAACTATGACCAAGTAAAGTGGATGGATGTTGAGGCTAAACCTAAGTGTAGCCTCAGTCTACATGTTAATGGATAACCTTTGCACTCTGAAGCCTTGAATACTGTAAACACAATAGTGCTGATAGTTAAAAATCCTAGTGTGGAGATGGAGCATAAAGGAAAGTCCAAACTTCTCAGCGGCAATAGGGAAACAGTCAAATATTTTGACAAATAATCGTATGGCTAAGAACAATGAGACTCGGGCGCTCAGACCTTGTAGCTATGGAGTTATTTTCAGAGCAAAGGAAGAAAAAGGGGGGGGGGGGTGTTTTCCTCCGTGCCCTCACAAAGCCACCACTCTAAGCCATTTTGGCATGAGACGGTCTGTTACAGTTTCTCCTCCCCTTCCTCCCCACACCACAAATAAAAGGGATTTTTAAAAAAATCTTACTATATTGTTGCTTTTAAAATTGAAAGAAAACTAACTGCCTTCCCTGGTCTATATGCTAAGAGATTTGTGTGCGATCCTGATGTCTGAGCAAAGAATTACAAAGAACCTTCCCTCCTGGAGATGTGCCAACAAAACTGGGAAATCGTTGCAAAATTCTGCCAGTGACGGCTGCGCTTGCAAACACACACCGTGTTTTCCAAGGGACGTGGAGGGATCGGAATTCCTGCCTTAGAATGCGGAGGCTCGTGCCTCGCGTTGATTTGGGAAGCGTGGGTCGTCGGACACAATTAAGAGTCGGAAAGTCACAGGAGAATACGAGGGACGTTTGGTTTCGTAATAAGCAGCTAAGAACTCCCCATTCTGGGAGAAGTGGAAACTGAAAAATCGAACGTTGGTCTCCACGGCCTTGGCCCCGCCCACGCGGAACCCAGCTTCGCCATCACTCACTTCCCAGGCTTCGCTACCTCTAAAGGAATCAGGTGCTGGAGGACTCAGCCACCGAGAGTGGGAACCCGCATTTCGGTCCCTATTGCTGGGATCTGCACGTGTACCCAAACTCAGGCTCCGTCCCACCTCTTCCTGAACCCGACAAACCTCTGTCATGTCTTGTCCTTTTCACTGTTCCCAAACAGACTCCCTAAACAGACACATTTCCCAGTGTATGCTTATTAAAAAAACACACACACACACCATTATCTCTGATTTCATCTTAGTGCTAGCAGGCCTCTCTTCCTTGAACTAACATCTGATTTTCTCTCCAGATCCCTTCTGTATTCGAAAATCTTATTACAAAAACAAGAGCAATCCTGGTTTGCTGTATATACTATCTACAGGAATTATCTTTTTGAGACTATTCCTAATTAAAAGTGCAGATGGAATATAATCGTCCCTAAGTATTTATTTCACCATGGAACAGATTACAGAGAAACAACTTGGAAACGAAATCCCTGGAGCTGCAGCAGAAACGGCACACAAGCTCAAAAGAGCTCAGTGTGCAGGGCAGGAAAACCAGAAAAACTGCAGGCAGCAGGAAACAGAAAAAGTTAGGCGAACCTGCATTTACAAACTACAAAGGACATCTGAGAGGGAGGCAGGAGCAGCCCTCTTCCCAAGACTGAAAGCACTAAATTAAGGACAGATAACAAACAAAGCCGAGGGAGGCCACTCCACTTTTCCCTTCCTAAATTTCAACCCCATGGAAGTCATCAGTTTTGAAAATACTCAAAAAAGTTAAGAGAAAAGTAGATGGCAGAAGTTACCTTCAGGAGGGGGAAGGCGGTGCTGGACCCTGGAAATCCTAGGAGCCTGCCACTCCACCTGGCCGGGAACAATACAGGAGGAGAGGTGATTGCTGGTTTTTACAAGCAAACCAAAAAGGGAGGGGCTAAGAGTAAAGCTCAATTTAAATAGAGGTTGAGATATAATCCTACTTGATTGACTAAATCAACCTCGATTGGGGTAAGAATACCATTTGATTCTAAGGACATCTGTCCCTTTGCCAACTTTGTTAAACCCTTTACAGGCACAACTAACTATTTCTTCCTCTAATATTGCTGCTTCCCAAAGTTGCCTTCTCTCAAAATATTCCTGGAAACTGCCTTAAAATTTGTACATATAACGTTCTCAGAGAAGCCCCTTTCAAAACTTCTTCCACTCAACACGTTTTCCCAATGGGACAAGGGGAGGGAAAACAGAGAAAAGTAAAAATCCTTGAAATCCAATCATAGCTACCGTTGCAATCAAGAGAGCCATTTTCTATTCACACACTCAAACTAAGACTTTCTGGAAGCAGGCAGATCAAGGCATTCAAGGCTAGTCTGAATACATAATATCCTGTCCCAGAAAAAAAAAAACAAAAGGCACAACTGGAAATATATAGTTCAGGTAGTGGGGGGCTTGCCTGCATGCAGGAAGCCTGAATCTATCTCCAGCACTACATAAACAAAGCATGGTAGCCATGGCTGAAATCCCAGCACTGGGGAGATGGAGGCAGAAAGATCAAGGGTTCAAAGTCATTCTCAGCCAAACGGTGAGTTTGAGCCCAGCCTGGACTATATCATAAATCCTTGTTTCTAAATAATAACAGCAGGGCATGGCAAATGCATGCCCTTTAATCCCAGCGCTCTGGAAGCAGAGGCAGAGGCAGCAGGTTTCTGTGCTTCTAAGGCCCTCCTGATCTACACAGTGAGTTCCAGAACAGCCAGGGCTATCTAGAGAGACCCTGTCTCAAAAAACATTGTTATTATTATTACTATTATTATTTGTTAATATTATACCATTGATTTGTTATCAAATAGTATTGTTAAATATTTTTAAACTACAGGAATATCCTAACTGCTGTCTGCTGGCACCTTGCATTATAGATAATAAACTTTTCCTCCCCATAAATAGCTCCACACACACATACACACATACATTTACCAGAAAATCCTATATTTTCTCCTTTATCTTCAACTTTGGAGCTGGGAACAAGGTTGGGTTGGTAAAGCATTCACCAAACATGCACAAGGCCCCAGGTTCAATTCCCAAGCACCTCAAATATATTTTGAATCCCACTTCTGTCCACTAAATGTGTTTCTAATCCCAGCTTGCTGTGGGGCAATCAGTTCCCTCCTCCAGTCACACACAGTGACCATGTACATATTACTCAGATCTATACAGCTTGGCCTTCATGCTTTCTCCACCCATAACAAAGGACATCCTTCACAGTGGAGAGCAGAGCCTATCACCACCCTGCTCTTGGATTGCTATTGCCCTGGGCAAGAGCACAGCTTCCCTAGCCAGTCTGCTTAGCCTTTGGGTCTAACCTAACCCAAAGTCTTACAGGAGGCCTCGCTTCAAACCCTATGCATATACTTCTACCCATCAGCAGTCTTAGACCAGGGCTTCCCACAGCCTGTCCTGTCTCTATCGCCATCACTTCCCACTCTACAAAAGCAAAACCGAGTACTAGTCCTTCTCTTCTGAGGAATCAGACATGGGGCCCTGGACAGGAACATCCT